TGCACCATCTTCAGCTAGGTAGCCTACAACGAAAGTACGCATTGTCCTTTCATACAGCAGCGTGGTAAAGTTTCATGTTCAAGGCCACACCTACAGATAAAGAATTCTAGTTCATTCCACCGTGACATAATGTGATCAATGTTGACAATATTCCGTCGTCAGACAAACAGGATGTCATGGAAGAGACCGCGGTCAGCAATTGTTGGAACGTTTTTTTGGGCCCATTGAAGACTCCTTGTCGTCCGAAACCACTACCTTCAAGGCAAAGTGCCAAGCCTGCAGGAAAGTAATTTAGGGATCGAAAACATCCACTTCAAACTTTAAGCTTCATCTCAGTTGACGCCTCAAAAAATTTGGAAAATGTATTGCAGTATCAGTATTTCTGTATTTGTATTTCTGCCCTCCCTAAAATGTATTCCTGTATTTGTATTTCCAAATACTTTTTGCCTCTTTTTAAAATGTATTTCCGATACGTATTGCGATACATTTTTACAGATGTATCTTAGTATCAGTATTTTAGCTACTATTTCAATGTATCCCAGTATTTGTATTTCCAAATACATTTTTGAGTATTTCTGCCCAACCCTGCTGTCGCCTTGCTCCGCACACATGGCGCACCCTGAGTCCGAGATATTTTCTCACTTGCGCTCGCTGCGCCACTCCGCTCTTCCGGCTGTCTGCAAACGAGACAGCGGGTGCGACAGCGGGCATGTGTAGTAGGGCGGTGGGGGGAACAAAAGATTACACTTGTCTGTTCCCCTTTTGGTATTGATTTACTTTACTGTATCCCGTAAAATCCCGTAGAAAAAACGCTGACTGGTGAAGAAAAAATAGTGAAGTGTCTTAAATTTTAACTGCGATTACCGTTTTTGAAGGTCATATCAAAATAGGCTGCAGGTTGTTTTTGTTTGATTACAGGTGCATTCACGAAAGGGGACATCGTAAAATACAGGCCAAAATCTGTATGCCGGATTTAGTCCGGCTCCAATGTACTTATTCTTTTTTTTCTCTCTTTCACTGATCACATATGTTCAAGAAACGGTAAGCATACAAGTTACTGAGTAGGTTTTGTAACCTTGATTAGTATGAAGAGGTATAAAAATATTATTTCTTCATTACTGGGCCCACGTGTTTGTTTCAAGCAAAACAAGTTGCTGACGAGACACCAGTTTTTTTGTTTACGAATGCCTAGTCTTAATAAGGTGGGACAAACAGTCATATATTTGTCAAGCGAAGGAGATTGAAACTTAATCGACAAAATATTTGCAGAGGACATTGTCAGACACAAAAGATCAATAGTCGGCGGTGGAAGTTCAACTGCACTATACAAGGAGATCGGGATGAAGGAGGCACCCCTCAAAAAGTATGCGTGGTTAACGGCATCAAACAGGGTGTCGCAACCGTAGCATCAAGCTTTATTCCAATCGGCAGAAGTCCAGTTCAGGGGGTCCCGAGGTGCAGTAAAACTTGCAAAATAATTTAATACCGCGTCATTCTCCCTTGAATCCCGACCACGGCTCTCATTCTGTCTGGTAAGAAATCATAGAGCGCGGCCACGAAGTCTGGCTCAGCCCCGAAGCCACTCCCATTCACCTCCCATTGCTTTCCACAATTTGTAGGCGCGAGGAGGGGACGCCGTGACATAGCTACCTTGATGCGGCTCCAAATGTTTTCGATGATATTCAGATCGGCTCCTTTTAGGGGCCAAGGCAGCTTCGTCAGGGCAGCGCTCCTCGAGGAGATACGGGCGTGACAGCGCATTTTTCACTTCAGCGCTTTCTTGAATTGAACTAAAATGCATGGTAGCTGAAGACGTGAACAGTGGGCTAGCAGACGGCCGGAAGAGCGCAGTGGCGCAGTGAGCGCAAGTGATAATTTATCTCGGCCTCAGCGTGCGCCGTGTTTCGGGAGCGATGCGACAGGCGGCGCAGGTAGTACCGTGCACAGGCCGGAGCGCTGTTTCAGCCCATATTGTCCGCGATAGTACAACGAACTTACTGGGTCTGATTTGAAATTGGTTAATATCACAGCAATTGCTATTTCGAAGTCCCTTAAAAATGTTAAATACCTCTTTCTCATCTCTAGGTTTTAGAAAGACGCTGTTGTTTATAGGACAAACAAAGCCTAAAGCGCTGTCACTGTGAGGCCCCAGCTATCGTCCTTACAAAATGCTCGTTAAAATGTTCTGCAAGTAGGGCTCCAGACGCAAGTTTGTTGCTTATTATACTTAGTTTACCTATATTTCCGCGCCCCCTGTAGTGATTCAGGGCTTCATTAATTGATTTTTAAATAATATAAGGGCATAGCCGATCGGCCTTACGAAATTTTTGATTGTATTATAATGATTTTGCTCTCTTCAGCACGGCAGTTAGTTCATTACGAAACTTCTTAAAAATGGCAAGTTTATTTTTGATTCCTAGACGTCAAAATAGACGAGTATAAACGATTCTCTTTCTGCATCATTTTAACATGCATTATAGTTAGCACTGACCACGAGATACCCAAGGTTTTCTGATTTTTGTTTTTGAAGCTGAAACTGTTACTTTGAAGAAGTATTTGTAAAAGGTTTTAGATGTTTTTGGAAATTCGGTATATGCATCATTTACATCTAAGCATGAGCATAAGAATCCCTGGGCACTTCTAATTTGCAACACCCTTTCTAAATGCAATAAAGTTAGCCCTGGAAATATTTTGAAAAATAATCAATGTTTTGTTGGCCTGGTTTGTTTGGTTTCGGTTTTTAAAAGACGCAAATATGAAATTGTGATCGCTGATATCACAGCTGATATAAGGTCATCGCAGCACTATATCAACACTATAGGAACGGTGCTGGCGCATCATTGACTTTACTTGGCATACCAAAGTGTGAAAGAGGATAAAGTGATGTGCTCTGTTCGGAAACTCAAACCGAATCTCTGCCTGTGATGGCATTTCTATTTTTGTTACCGAAGGCTGTGCTGGAATATTTGTCCCTGTCTTGACATATATATCTAATTTGTCTTTGTAATATGAGGTTTACTCTTCTCTTTGGAAAATGTCAGTCGGAATACCTGTCCTTAAGTCTGGGAATTTTTGTGATGTCAATAACTTTCGCCCTGTATCCCTTTTTTGTGTATTTTTAAAGTTTTTGAAATGGTGATTTATGAACGTCTGTATTGCTATTTTAAACGAAAAACTTTACCTGTACAACACGAGTTTCTCAAAGGCTAGATCAGTAGAAACAAACTTAACTGCTTTCCTGGGTGACAGCGGACCCGCCGTATGTAACCGCAGTCAGATGGACACAATTTACTTTGACATGACAAAGGCTTTCGATAAGGTCGACCACCAGATACTTTTGATTAAATTGAAAGAATATGGATTATGTTCATTGAATTGCGCATGGTATAGGAACTATTTCGATAGTCGACAAAACCAGGTTAGATTTTCAAACTGAGTGTCCGAACCATTTGCATCCTTATCTGGCGTACCACAATTTTCTAACCTAGAACTGCTTTTGTTTTTAATATTTGTAAACGATTTACCGCAATGTATAAAGAGTTTAAAAATGCCAATGCTCGCCGATGACTTAGGACTGTTCCGTAAGGTAGACAAAGAGAATGACTGTTGATTGGTACAAAATGATATACGCTCTATTGAAAAATGTTGCTTGATTAATAGGCTGCAACTGAACCTAAAAACGGCGCTAGTAATGTCTCTTACTACAAAGAAAGAGAGCCTAGTTTTCGACTATTCTCTTTTTTTATAACCAAATAAGGCGAGTACTTCCTTCGTGTTTTTGTAGATGCTGATTTAGATTTCCGTCTACATGTTTCGCGCATTGTTAACCAGAAACCATGCAACCTGTGCGTCATTTTGCGGCTTACGTGCAAATTTCGTAATTTCGAATGTCTTTTAAGTCTGTTTTGTGCACGTGTTAGATCGCGCCTTGAATTCTCCTCGGTGGTATGGTGCTTTGTTGCGGTGTCGCAGAGTAGTTTAATAGAAAAAGTTCAACGTAAGTTTCTGCGAATTTTGCACGATTGGCACATTGGCCGCCGTTGCTTTTACGGCTAAAATATTTTGCTGCTAGACCTCGGTCTCTTGTCGCTGCACAATCAAAGCATTGCAAGAGATACGTATTTTATGCGCCAATTTGTACGCGGCTCTGTTGACTGCGCAGTGTTGTTGACGGCGCTGAACGTTCATGTACCATCGGGATGAACTTCCAGGTGCCTAGACACCTTATATCCTGCTGTGCGTGCCATCTTCCCCACGACACGTCTACTACGGACGCACAATACTTTGTTCGTTCAAGTGGACATTTTTTTAACTTGCTCGTATTATTACTTACTCTTTTTTATATTTCTCTAGTTATTAGACAGTGCACTGCTTCCCAGGCCACACGTCTGTTGGCAGGCGCAAAAATAAAATATATCTATCTATCTATCTAAATGTAACTTCGGCATGATGCAGCGCTGTATCAGTGCTGTATCAATAACGTGCGTACTTTCCGCGCATCTCTTTCACTGGTCAATTTGATGTTATCTCGTCCTTGATCGGCCATGTTTTGTTCGCTTGGTTTTTACTTTTTTATTGTGTGTACCCAAGTGAAGACTACTGTGGTTGTTTCTGGACACATTAAATAAATACTTATTATTATTATGATTATTATTAATATTATTATAATACAGCGAGAACTGAGGCCAGACTTATTTCCAGCGCAGACAAATGTTGCTGAGGTATAGTGTTGTTATGTATGTGTAAACAGGTCTATAATCACCGGCAGTTTACAAAACGCAGGAAAGGGGGGGGGGGGGGGGGGGGGGCCTTAATATGTTCGCACCTCTTGCTGCGTGATTAGTTTTTGAGCGTTTTTTATGGTATAATGGCGCAATCTCATGGGCTACGGAGCAATCATGGGATTAATTGGGACTTTCCACGGACGGCGCTTTGTAAGGCGTCAGTGAAAACTGATAGCTCCTAATAATAATAATTCAGAACGTCCAGAAGGAGCGTACCAGTTAATGGCACCGTTCCTGACGGCCTCGTCCGTGAACCTGGACTGGTTGTGCGACGCCAGTGGGCACTGGTAACAGGTGGCGAATTGGGGCCCTCTATCCAGGGCCACGCGGCCCACGTACAGCAGGCAGGCCACGATCTTCACCACCAGCCGAATCACGCGAATGCGGAGACCTGCGCGGAAAAACAATAAACAAAAATAATGAACGATGCCTTCGATCTCACCATTTTGGCAAACGTCCAGGGGACAACCCTTCCTACAAACAGTGCCGTGTGTTGGAGACAATCACGAGCCATAGCCACCTTCATTGAGCTCATTGAGTAAATTTACGCTTATACGAGAAATCTAAAGCCTGTCTTGATATTTTTTTTTATAACGAAGCAAAGTTTACGTTTATCAGTATACCTTTTCAGAAGGTTCGGCATTTGTACTGCGCCGCTGTGCAATAGGAACACGAATAATCGGCATTTCGTTTAGCCAATCCATAAACCTTTCCGCTTCATGGCGCTTCAATGCTCAGCAAATCCCATACAGTTGGACATTTGAAGAACTCTCGCGAGAACGGGTTTGTGCGAGATGTGGGAAAAGATCAAAGGGGAGGGGGAGAGGGGGGGGGGTGGTTTTCGGTTGCTGGTGTCTACAATGCTCCTTGCTGAGTGTGCTCAATTAAAGAGGTAACGCTGACGTTGCAGCAATATAACGTCCTAATGGTCACGCGCTTTTACGGACAAAAGGGCATTCACAATTTTTGCCACTGAGATTGCAAGCTATTGAGGATCGATACCGATCACTTTCCCCATCAGTGGAACTGACTAAAGAAAGATAATTGATTGGTGCTGCGGGAGGAAAAAACAACATTGTAGAATAAATGAATAATCTTGAAGTTGTGAATGAAAACCCATATTAAAAGTCAACACGCCCCTAACCTTCCGACAGCCCCTAATTTGTCGCTTGTTCAGACAGTTTACGAAAATACTTTGCAGATGCTTTTCGCTCTTTTTTTATTCTTTCTAACGTCGTCAACATAGCCAACCCCAGAAAAATGAGAGAGAGAGTGAGAAGGAGAGAGAGAGAGAAAGAGCTCTGTTTGCTCAATGTTTAATCAGACTTTATAAGGACAGAGGCACTCGGAGACGCGGAGTCCTTCTAGGTCCATACGTTGCGTTAAAATACAGGTGATAATAAACATCAGCGAGTGCGGCTTTCGTTTAGAGAAGTGCTGGGGCTTTTTTCTCACCTAGAAACAACAACAACAAAAAAGCGTCGGTTTGCATTTTTTTACGTACTTTACATATTCAAATAAGCCACATTGCTTTTTCACCTTCAAAGTTTTTTTGTTTTGTTTTTTGATTGATGGTATTTGAGTGTTAGGAAACTTTCGCACCAACAGAGACGGAGCAAACTTTTGCATTTGGGAAATTCGGGAACTAAGGAGAACTCCTAGCACAAAAATAACAACCACAACAAACGTTGAAACGATATACATTGACATTGGTTTGTTGCATCGCATAAGTTAAATCTACCGGAAACACAAAATGGAAAACGAAACAGTTCGTTTTTGTTTTTGTTTTTGTGTTTTCACCGCTGGAAGTTGCAAATGGTAAACAACCAGTAGCATATGGCAAAAAAAAAAAAAAAAATGTCGACCAGAAAAAGAGGAAAACACGTAGAAAACGACAGAAGTGGTTGCTGTTTTTAAGTAATGCCGTTCGAATCGATTCAATAATTTTCGGCTTCGCTTCCCCTTCAACAAAGTACAGTAAACAAATGGAGGAAAACGATCAGGCATACCTCTGCTTTTTTTGATTGAACGCAAACGTCTGGGGCGTAGGGTAGAAGCGATCAGGAAGAAATCCCTATTCAATTTACGCCAAAGCAATCCCTGCGCAAATAAAGCTTTGGCACAAAAAAAAAAGAAGAAAAAAAAAAAAAGAAGAAAATCTTTAGACGTAAGTGGGTCAACACCTTAAATATAGTGTTTAAATTTTCAACACCACCTTTTAGACCTTAGGGTGGTGGTTCATTTTGCTTTTAGGTCCTATTGTTCTCCGGTTTATGGTGTTTCGTTTTGTCATTGCTTTTCGTTTAACAAATATATGAGCTCGCACTGTCTCTTGAGAAACGCAACATATTCTCCTTCTTTTTTGGTTTTCTTGAACCCTACAGTTTTTGTGCCTTCTTTTTAATATATCCATACAAGTTTGCAAAACAGAAAAAAAGACATATAAAGATGCTATTAAAACTTGCGCAATTTTGTCTCCTAGAAACAACACAGGTAAGTCAGCTGACAAAAAAAAATGAAAGGCGTTTAAAATTTTTTGTAATGCCAAATTAGAGCGCAGCTCTTGAGGAGGAGGAGGAAAGGGTACGGAGGGGAGGGTCATGTATGACGTCACGTGTGACGTGACGAGGGTAAACATTTCCCGATAAATTTGGTGGTAAATGTTTTCGGTAAATTTAGGCGAAACATTTTTCCGCCAAATTTAGCGGAAAAACGTTCCCGGGTTGAGTGCGTCACGAATGACGCCAGGAGGGTAAAGTTTTCCCGCTAAATATAGCGGAAACATTTCCCGTCAAATATAGCGGGTAAATTTTGCGCTCTAGACGTCACACGTGACGTTGTTATAGGAAACGTCCCATAATGCAACGCTCAGTTACGTCGACAGCGACGGCGACGGCGACGCCGCTCAAGCCGGAAACGGGCGCCTAAGAGCTGCGCTCTAAAACAGCCTACAACCGGAAATTTCTTTTAATCACAAAGTTATGAAACTTTTGAAATAAAATTGATATCTAAGAAAGGTGGTCGCCTGTCACGCCTGCCGAGAGAGTTACTGAAGCATATTTTGTGTTGGCATCAAATAAGTGCACACGATATAACAAAACTTTTAAAATAATAACGGTAATTTTACGAAGCTCTGTCGTTACCTGCTATGTTTTCGTTTTAAGTTTTTTCAAACACTGCCATTGAGACTACATACACACGAACTCATCTCTGTTACGTCACGGCGCGGTGGTGGCGCGTCGGACGCACTTCCGGTCCGGGGCTGTGGGCGGAAGTGCCCATGTGAGACGTGTATTCCTGCGTTGTTTTGAAAGAAACCAGACAAAAACCTGCCTTCTCGTCAAAATGCTGCGACTGGGGCTGTACCAAAAGGGTCGAGAAAGGTTTGAAGGTCAGTTTTCATGCGCTCGGTTCGTCCGAGAATGTGGATATGTGCCGTGAAAAGGGAAAACCAGTCACCGTCGGACCACGATTGCTTGGGCGGGAAGCATTTTGCGTTGAATTCACAAATACTTCTGGCCATCAGATTTATTTGTTTTGTTCCAAAATGAACGCCGGAAAACTGACAAATTGTACGGACCACCTGCAGACTACGTTCAGTTCAAGCGGTCGCATGATCGTTCGAACTGTCGTCTGCTCTTTCAAACGTTTCTGCTTGTCGTCTGCTCTTTCAGAGGACACCCGCCCGTAGACCAAACGTGGGCCCGGTACTCGCGATAAGAAGTAAGTGCAGGCCTCAAAAGACTTAAGTTTGAAGGTTGGTAAGCAGACTGGACGTAAACAGTAGACACAAGGAGATGTTGATCATTGTTACCAGAGGCCATCACCGATTTTTTATGCCCGATTCACTTGGTTAGATTCTGCTTGCGATTTTCAAAATCGACGTCCACCATCTCAGCTACGGTTCACGCTTTTGCAGTCTGAGCTACGTCGCTACTGAAAATTGCGAGCGAAATCTCATCATGTGAATCAGGCTTTAGCGTACATTCTGCGGCGTCCACGCGGAATGAATCGCCGCATGTCAGATTGTTCACGCGAAGTTTTGCGGTGTAACGAGCCTCGTTAATTTCGCTGACGCCTCTCAAGTAGTCAGACATCGTTAGGAGGACGTAGAATCAATAATTCCAACGCAAAAAAGAGCGCGGGGACTCACACCGACGCCGACAACATCGCATTCTAATGGTTTGTTTATGGGCGACGGCGAGCTTCTTGCCAACACCCCCATCGCGCATGCGCGGCGCCGGTGGCGTCCGGTGGAGGCGCTCCGGGCGCTCCGGTTTGTTTGTAAACATGAGTTGGTGTATACGCAAACCCGGTCTGTCGGATCGAGTGAGAGGAGTTTTCCAACTTCACTCGACAACTACATTTTTTAGGTAATGTCATTAAAGACTGCTCGGCGAGTCACGACTTTGGAAGAATGACATTAAATCTTGCAAGGTCGTGATAGCAGTCTTTAGTAACATTCACTAAAAAAATCCAGTTGTCGAGTGAAGTTAGAAACCTCATCTCACTCGTGTGCCATAACTTATAATCAGTGGCAGAGCATTCGCTTCATCGAAAAAGTTTAGCCTTTATTGAAACGTTAAAGGCCCGTCTAGAGCTGCAGGTACACTGCTCAGACACCATACAAAAGACACGCTTTTCGCTGCAGATGCAAAACAATGCGCCTAGAAACTGAGGGAGAAGGGGAGAGGAGAGCCGAAGGGGCCGTGTAAACGCCGTGCTCTGGTTGCTACGATTAGTGGGTACGCCGAAATCTAGCTGCCTTCGCCTCCACTGCCCTCGTCGAACTAGTTCGATTGGGAGAGCCAAACACCGGCCGCCGGTATTAAGTGTTCCAGCGCATTCAACGAGTGCAGCGGAGACAAAAGCTGCCTTTGTCTGCAACGCACTCGTCAAACGCGTCAGAAAGCGAAAGACGCCGGCCTTCCGCGCTCAAACGCATTCAACGAATGTTATGGAGACAAAGGCAGCTAGCCGTGGCATACCCGAGGTCCTTTATTCGCGGCGAGAACCACGCAAGGGGGCGCCACCGAGCAGCACGTAAATAGAAAGTTTTAGCAGATCGCTATTCGCCCCGATAACGATACCTCCTCTCCCTTTCGGCGGCCTTTGGCATGCATCGTATCGTTTTCGGGACGAAAAAACGATCTACTAAAACTCTCTAATGTCACGGGATACCCGGAAAGGGGGGGCGAGGCCCGGTTCGTTTACATGGCGCGCGCCATAGCGGCACGGCGTGATTGCTTGCTTTAAGACGCCCGGCACGGTGATTCGTTATTGTTCTCTCAGCGATGACACAACAACATACGCGACTGAAAGAGGTCTTGCTTTTGTTCGCAACTGTCTGTTTCGCTCTCCGCATGGATTGCACTGGAGTGACTCGGCGCC